TTATTATATCATAATTCAAATCAATAAACCTTGGCTTCATTCTTTAATTTGCAAACTAATTTTGTTTGTACTTTTTGGTGTGAAGAAGAATAAAATCATAAGAAAAATAAAAAACTATGGAAAGAAGAATAAGAGCATTTAAGATATGTCTACCAAAAAACTTTGTAATTTTATTCAATTTTAAGATTTGAAGGAAATCTAAAAATTTTGAATGTTATTATAGAATAGATGTTATTTAGATTAAAAAAAGGTTGAACTAGAAAACATCAAAGCCCTTGTGGTAGGAGTTTTGCATCTCTAAAGGACTCCAACAAAAGCTGATAACAAATATAGGTTGACATTAGGGGTGTCAATTTCAGGTCACGGGCGGGTTCGGGTCCAACCCAGAAATGACCCGGCTCAATTCGGGTCAACCCGAACCCGACCCGTTTTTACAATCAGGACGATTTTTCGGACCCGTACCCGACCCGCTATGGGTTCGGGTCAACCCGACCCGACCCGAGGACATGGCAACCCCGTGCGCAGATTCGCAGCAGCGGCATCCGGCGGCCACGGCGATCCGTCAGCTGGCGCTCGGCAGCAGCAAAACGTGACAGGCATCGGCGGTCAAGCGGCATCAGTGTCCGGCAACATCACGCGAGTCGCGACAAAGGGGCCAGCTGCTGGCCATTCACGAGAGTGGGAGAAGCTACGCGACGCGGGATGCGACGCGTCACGCGAGCGGGCAGCGGGTCAGCCGGGCAGCACAGCAGGGGGCAGCTTGGTCACGCGGCGGGCAGCTTGGTCAGCGGGTCAATCCGGGTTATTTTCGGGTTTCCGGGTCAACCCAAACCCGACCCGGATTTTGAAACATGTCGAAAACTCTAACCCAAACCTGACCCAATTCAGGTTCGGGTTGACCCGAAACCGAAATTTTCGTGTCGAGTTCAGGTCGGGTTATCGGGTCGTGTCAAATATTGACACCCCTAGTTGACATCAAGAGGACATTGATGAGGAAAAGTTGAATTAGAGCAGACATTGACAACAACTTTAGAGATTGATTTAATAAGGCAAAATTGTAGCATAACAAGTGATGAAGGTCTGAAAGTAAAATCTAACTTTGGTGATAACCAACAAATAGATGGCATAGGGATCATCGAAGGAAAACGAAGTAAAGAAACTCCCATAATGCTACGAGTAGATGTTGCACTAAAATAGCTCGAGCCCAGTTATCACCAAAGTTAGATTTTACTTGAATAAGCATATCATGTACACATCCAGTAAAATTTACCGACGACTCGACATTATATAATACTAAACACATCTAGTACGCATACTAAACCCTAAACGAGAGCTGCTCTCTTCGCTTGGAGGTTTCTCCTACTGCGAGTTGGGTTGTTGTCTTCTCCGTCCGACCGGCGGCCGCTTCTGTCCGAGGCTGCTGTCTCCTCCGACCTGCATCAGGTCATAGAAAAGATTAGTAAGAACTCGTTCACTTCCTATTTTTGCTCAATCAAAATGGTCAGAAATAAGGATAAAGCTGCATTAGGTCATACAAAAGATCCAGCATGGAAACATAGCACTCAGGTGGATGTAGGAGACAGTGATAAAACCTATGTCTATCTGAAATGCAATTACTATGATAAAGTTGTGAAAGGTGGTGTGGCTAGGATGAAGTAACACCTTTCAGGTTCTCACAAGAATGTTGCTCCATGCTCCAAAGTTCATGATGCTGTAAGGGATGAGATAAAATCATATATGAATAAGTCTATCACATCAAAACATCTTGCACAGAAGCAATTTGAGGATAGAGTTGATATTAGATCTTACTACGAGAGTGAGCGCAGCGTTAGGGATTCATCTTCTTCTATGAAGCCCATTTCATCTAGGAGTGTTAGAGGGCCTATGGATCATTATATGGTTGACACATCAGAGGATAGGCCTTCTATTACACAGAAGATGGCCCCATAAAATGCAAGGGAGGCGCGGAGAAGAGTGTAAGGATATAGGCAGGTTCTTCTACAAAAATATAATTCCATTTAATGTTGCAACATCATCTGCATATTACAACATGATTAGTTCAGTTGGAGCATTTGGGAGAGGGTTCAAACCTCCAACCATGTATGATTTAAGAACATGGATTTTGAAGGAGTTGGAAAGCACCGATAAAAGCATCGAAGAAATTAAGAAGACTTATGCCCAAACATGAGTAACAATTATGTCAGATGGGTGGTCTGATATCAAACATAGAAGTCTGATCAACATCCTCATTAATAATCCATATGATATTGTGTTTTTAAGGTCAATTGAAGCATCTAACCAGGTCAAAGATGCTGAGTTCATATTTGGATTATTAGATAGCATTATTGATGAGGTTGGAGAACATTTGGTTGTACAAATTGTGACAGATAATGCAAGTTCTTATAAGGCTGCAAGTAATAAACTTATGGAGAAGAGGAAACATTTGTACTTGACTCCATGTGCTACACATTGAATAGATCTGATTCTTGAGAAGCTTGGGGAGCTACCTCAACATAAAAATGCACTCACTAAAGCCAAAAAAATAATCAAGTTTATTTACAACCACTCTTGGGTGCTAGCTCTTATGAGAAAATTTTCGAAGAAAGAAATTCTAAGGCCAGCCGCAACAAGATTTGCCACCGCTTACTTGACCTTAGAGAACATGTTGGATGCTAGGCAACCTTTAGAGGCTATGTTCACATCTACACAGTGGTTGAGTTGTGCTTGGGCGAAGAAGGCTGAAGGAAAAGAGATTAGAAAGATTATTTTAAATGACAGATTTTGGCAAAGTGTCTTATATGTCATTACAACTACTAGACCTTTAATTCATGTTTTAAGGATGGCGGATGCTGAGAAGAAGCTTACAATAGGTTTCATCTACAATGTCATGGATGAAGCCAAAGAGATGATTGCCTCCAACTTAGGAGGCAGTGAGGGAAGCTTTAGGGAAATTTGAAAAATTATTGATGATAGGTGGGAACTACAGCTTCACTGACACTTGCATGCCGCTGGCTACTACCTAAACCCTCAGTATCAATATGCAGAGAACAAGTCTACAAACCCTAAAATAAAGTTGGGATTATATCATTGCATGGATCGTCTAATAAGTGATGCAATCGAAAGATCAAATGCTGACTTGAAATTAATACCTTTTAGGAACAAAGAAGATTTTTTTGGATTACAACAAGCAAAAGATACAATTGTCAAACGATCTCCAGTTGAGTGGTGGATTCAATTTGGTGATGGGACTCCAGAATTATAGCATTTTGCTGTGAAAGTTTTGGGCTTGACATGATCTTCATCTGGCTGTGACAGAAATTGGAGTACCTACAACCAAGTACATACAAAGAGGAGAAATCGCTTGTCGACATTGAGGATGAACTCACCGGTGTACATTATGTACAATAGGAGACTCAGAGATAGAAATTTGAAGAAAAAAGGATTAATGGATGATAAAGATCCTTTGCTTAGAGATGATGTGGCATCTGATGATGAGTGGTTTGTAGATGATGAAGTTGAAGTGATGTCGTCCGAATTACAAGATGAAGATTTAAATGTTGATTTCTTTGATGGTCTTAAAGCATCCATATCCCCCACAACTCAAGAACAAATCAAAAAATGTATATAAATAATATAATTTTCTTTTCTTAGACTTTTATTAATGTATTACACTATTATTCATTATGATATTGTTTAAAAATATTTAGGGAAGAGGAAGATAACTAATAATGAGGAAAAAGAAGCCGATTGGGAGATATTGGACTCTATAGGAGAGGGAAGAGGAGAGAGCAGTTCATCATAATGATGATTCAAATGAAGACCCCCTTAGTGATGACTGATGAGTGATGACAGTGCTTTTTTTTTCTAAGATGTGGTAAGTAGCATTTTTATGATTTATATATTATTTACTCATTAGTATACAAAATTTATTATTTTATGTTTACGCAATTTTTTTATTTTTCGGCTTACGCCTCAAATCGTCTTGAGGCTTACGCCTCGCCTCACGAACAAAAAACGCCTCAATACCCGAATACGCAATTTTAAACATTGTGAGTAACAATAACAAAGTTGGAAAGCAGGAATCAACAATGAAGGATAATCAGCAGCAATGAAGGCCGAGAGTAGAAATTGACAATGAGACCAATATTGTTCACGCAAGTGCAACTGGTGGCGAAGGCCCGGATATATGAAGAAGACAAAATATTTAATGCTCTAATACCATGTGGGGAATATGACAATATTTCCCATTCTTTCAAAGCATTTGATATAAAGAAATATACAGATTGTTCAAAGAAGAAGAAAGAAAAAAAAAAGGAAAAATATATATATACAGCTATAAAACAATACTATTTCTAAATATAATGAGAATTTAATATGGGTGATCATGATTTCTTTCCTTGGCATGGGTCTATGGGATATGGATCCACATACTCCTTGACATAGGTTCCAAAAATTGGATTAGGTCTTGTCCAAGCAAATCAAGTTAAATGCAATGCCATATCAACTGTTAAAATAAACTGGCTATGGTCATTTTGTTGAATCAACGTGCATTTAAATTTCAACAGACCTTGAAAACAGGAAACCATGCCAGCTCAATCTGAAAAGACACTAATTATGCCAGAAAGAACAACAAACAGTTTAGATCATTAAATTCCTACAGTCCTGTGAACTATCAGAATCCATCATAAGCAAGCCCAACTCAACATCAACCATCCAATAATAATAATAACAAAGAATCAATCTATCATTCCAATATATAAACCTTAATCTATCCCTCAAATTCTCATCACAGCGTAGCATTGTACTCTACAAAAAAGAACAAGTTTTATTACTGACTTAGTGGGAAAAATTAATATTTATAACACTATATAATTTGACTTGCTGTCAAACTAAAGACTGAAGTGATAAAGCAAAACAGAGAGAACCAAAAGATTGAAAAAAAAAACAAATCTCAAAACACAAATCATGACGTTACAAGAAATCATATTCAAACCACACACATGAATAGCTTAGCTGCCATCTGAAGGTGAAATTTTGAAACTTTGTCTTTCACTGCTGAAGAATCATGCTCATTTCCAGGAGAAAACTCAATGTTCCCAAGATGAAGAATCCCAGCTATTGTACGAAAAACAGCTTCCTTTAACATAAAGCAAACCAATTTGTGAATTCAAATTAATCTAGAGGGAGAAAAAAATTACAATAAAGAGCTATGACATGAAGAAAATATAAACAAATATCGAATTGATTCACCTGATCATCAAGACTTATGCCAACTATATCCATCGCTCTTCTTGTCTTTAAATACTCGTGTGCATTGCTAATCCCATCTAACTCATACGTTTTACTTTGATTCAAGTAGTGAAAGCTGCTTGGATGACCAACTTTGAACTTCTCTGCATCCTATAGAAAGAAAAAATAATGAAATATACATATATGCATGAGAGATTTAATAGAGAGAAAGATTACTATTCTTTAAGTGGGAAAATTCATTCTTCAAACAATTAGTTTACCATGTGACTAACTCAAATGCAAAGAATAAGGTCATTGATAGATCTACAGCATAAAAAACATTGATGATCTAATTTGATCACAACAAAGATAATTTGACTGTTAATCAAACGTGATAAATAATAGACCAACTTGTAACGTCCCCTCATTAAAAATAATTTTAAAATTTTTTAAAACAAATCCATTGAAATTATTCTTGATGTCATGTTATACAAGTCAAACATTTTCAAATATAATTAATCGTTTATCTTGTTATCAAGATCGTTCATTATAATGTTTACTTTTGCATGCTTGAAGCATGATCAAATCATCATGAAATTTTTGCATCATAGTAACTTTTTGACTTAAGATTATGATCAATAATCTTAATTTGCTAAGTGGAGATTGTATAATTGAGAAATATGATAATAAAATTATTTGAAAAATATCTCTATTCATATAAAAAGACTGCAAACTATCCATATACACACATACTCATATAGACTTTACTTATATATATACTTCAATTCCCCTGATGTTAGCTATATATAAATCGCTTATAAGCAGCCACTAGTTCTCAAATTTGAAGCATGTATCCTGAAAACTTGAGATTGTACCCTTTTGTTGCAAGGGATGATAAAAATAACGCAGATTACATTAAATTGTAAGTTGTATTGTAGGAAAAAAAGATGGGGCAAATAAATTTAAGTTACAAAGATAACATAATTAAAATTAATACCATATATAATATATATAATTTAAGAGAGAATATAGCAAGTTATATTCAAATATATATGGCATGCAAAATGTGATAGTCATTTCAAAATTTAAATTACATCTTATGCAATATTCAAATTTAAAAGTAAGGATTTCATAGTAGTATATTGATCAAATATCTTGAAATTCAAATTCAAAACTTCAGAATTAAAAGCATATCATGTGTTATACTCAAATATGTAAGTAATAATATGTTTGATATAATAGATAGCATTAGATATATTTGGATTCAAAATTTAAATTGTGTCATGCGACAGCCTTATAGTGTGGACTCATGGTTCCATGTACAGTAGTTTAATGTGTGTAATTATATATATATATATATAGAGAGAGAGAGAGAGAGAGAGAGACTAGTGGAAGAAAAGGAGAAAACAACAAGAAGAAGAGAAGCACATAGCGTTAGAGCATTAGTGCTAAAACTAATAAAAGCAAGAAAATGATTTACCTGTGAAAAAATGAAATATTATCCAATGTAAAAAACAAGGTGAAAAATAAATGACGCGAAGGGACAGAAATTATTCTCTAATGTTAAAAATTATATCATCCAACATTACTAAGGGAACCTACTTATACAATATAATAGAAACATCCAAATAAACGCACTGAAAGTCAAGAGAACATGTTTTTTTAAAAGGTTATTTGTAAAATATCAGAAGAATATAATCATGCAAAGCTAAAAAATTATGCCAAATACATTTTATTAAAATTTCAGATAGTAAAAACAAAGCTAAGTTGCAATTGAAATGTATACAACAAACTTGTAGAAACTAATAAAACTTCAAAAATCAACTACCAGCACAGTGGAAGATTAAAATCAAATATCATTCCAGAGAGCTCCAAGGGTTGAATGAAAACAAAAAACGAAAAGAAAGTATGAAGGACTCATGAAATTTCATAAATATTAACATCCACCTTTCCTGACGCACAGAGCTGGTAAAAACAGTGGTAGTTCCTTTCATGATCGCTAATTTGAACAACACGAGATCTCTCCAATAGGTAAGTTCTAATTGCTGCACCAGATATCCTACCATTTGCGTCAAACTGGATTTCTACAAATTTTCCAAAACGACTTCGGACAAGAGAAACAAGTATTAGAATTTACACTCATCCGCAATTCTGTGAAACAATAAATGCACACAAAGAAATTGTTCACTCCATCAGTACAAGAGAATCAGCAGAAGATTATCATCAAGCATCAAGATGTAAATTGCAAATAACCAAGCAAACTGAATTTAGATGAGTAGATCTATCTCAAGCACATTGAAGGTACAATTTTACTGGAATGATTGGGATCATCATAAATAAGACAAAAAGACTGTCATGTATTAATTGTTTGTACTAAAAACAAGGTACTTTACACATGAAACGATCTAGAAAAAGTAACCACACTTAATTTGCTTACATAACTAATGTAGGCAGGGGGGAGGAACGGAAGAGGCCAAAACAAGGGGGAAGGAACCGGGCAGGCAGAGGAATCGAAGGGGCAAAATAGAGGGGGAGAACCGGGCAGGCAGAGGAACCGAAGAGGCCAAAACCATAAGATTGAAGGTTCCTCTGCCTGCCCGGTTCTCCCCCTTTGTTTTGCCCCTTCAATTCATTATCTTTATTGATTTTAAACCATAAGATTGAAGGTTTGAAAATTGTCCAACCTCAAACTTTTCTTTCATAAGGAGAACTCAAGTTACCCTTATATAATCATCACCGACAAAGCATCAAGTGCCCGAAACATCTTTTATCGTTGAGGGAGCCCACACATCACTATGGATCAAAGAAAATGCAATTGAAGTTTTGTTTAAAATTTGATGATATACAGTTTGAGTGTGGTTTACAATCTGATAAATATTTTAATAATTTGAGAAATAATTTTGCAAGATACACAAAGCTATGACAACCAAGACGATAGTGTAACAATATAATTTCACTATCTTTATTGATATTGAGATTGCAAGCATAATTGAAAGATTCTAAGAGACTTTGAGATTGGATGCAACTTGCTCCAGAAATTTGGTTAGATGATTAGTCACATGAGAGGAGAAAAATCTCATAGCACAATTCAATACTGTCAATAATCTTCCCCAAGTTCAAGTCCAGAGAAAACACAAAAAATTGGATAAAATTTAATAACACATTTAAGGTCACAGGACAATTTGCTAATAGACAAAATATTAAAATCCAAGTTTGGAAGATTGGGGGCAGAGTTAAGATACAATTCTTTAGTAAGATGGATGGAAAATGTTCCAAGAATTTAAAAATTTGAAGCATCAACAATAGAGACAGACGAGTGACCACTACCTAGCTTCTAATTTTATAAAAGGGCGGCATCTCCTATCATATGATCAGAAGCACCAATGTTAGCTATCCATGATCTCATGTCTCCTTTGTTACTAGTGAAAACAGTATGTGAATCTATTTGAATAACCAAACATGTCCCAGTAATGTTACCACTGTCAATTTGACTAGACAATTTATGCATTAAATCCATCTGCTCTTTGTTAAGCGTGCTAGGCTCATGAACAAGAGCACTCTCAAAGTTGGAAGCCATGTGTGCTTTGTTGTTTCTATCAAATTGCGGCTTTCATTTCAAATCATGGAGCTTCCAACAAATCTCCTTGTAATGACATGGATTCTTACAATAATCACACCAAGGCATTTCCCATTTCTGACAATCTCAACCAATATTGTTAGATACTTAGATGATCGGACAACAAGGGAAAATGCATCCAATTTTGATGCGGGTTGTTCCTTAGATCCCATCCTCACTTTCTTTGCACTTTCTTCATGCCTAATCTCTAAGAAAGCCTCCCTAAAATTTGGTAGAGTTTTAGTGATCATGATCAGACCTCAAACATCATCCAACTCTCTATTAAGTCCTAAGACAAACTTGAACAGCCTTTTTTGTTCCATAATATGTTTGGACATTACTACACCTTCTAGACATGTCCATGAGTGAGTTTTGAATAAATCAAGTTGTTGCCAATATCGTGTGAGTGTATTGTACTACTGAGTAACAGATTGCTCTCCTTGGCGGAAGTCATGAGTATTGATTCAACATGAAACAACTCTTAAGTATTTTTAGAGCTGGAGTAAGTCTCTTTAGCTACATCCCATATTTATTTTGCAGTCCCAAACAACAAGAAATTTTCACCAATGTCATTATTTATGGAATTGATAAGCCACAACACAATCATACTATTTTCAATCTTCCACTTTCTGAAACCTGGATCTATAGTTTCTGGCATGATTGCTGCTACCGTGAGATACTAATCATTTCCCTTACCACAAATGAAGAACAACACTGATTGTGACCATTGCAAATAAATATAGCCATTTAATTTGTCTTGTAATGAAAAATATGAGAAGAATCACTACCACCAAGGTTTAAAATTTATGAACTTCTTCCTGATTCTGTTGTCATGATGTCGGATGTTTGTGATGAGGCTACTCTATATTGCGGAGAAGAAGATGAGGGCGAAAAAAGCATAAGGTCGTTGGAAATATGAATAAGAAAGAAGGCTTGGATAGAAGCTCCTAGAAAGGCGGCCTGAAGGAATTAAGGTTAAGAGAACAGGCTCTGATACCATGAAGAATTTTTTATTTGATTATTCTTCTTGTTCAAAAGTGTACTATATATATATATATATATATATGCTAAAAGAATGCCTAATAAAAGAAATAATTAACAAGCTTAATTCTCTCTTGAATTTTAGGAAATAGAATCATAAGAGAATAATTTTTTTCTAAAATTAGGAAAAAGAATCATAGGAGAATGTCATAATTGATCTCTCCTTCTATTCCTAAAATTATTTTCCTAAAATAAAAATAGAATCATAGGAGAAGATCACAATTGATCTCTCATTTTATTCTTGAAAAATACTTTCCTAAAATAAATTTTATAGCTTTGACTTTCAAATATTCAACAATATGCTTCTTACTTCTCCATATAATAAATGACTCCAGAAAAAGGCGCAAAACCAATCATTGACCTTCAATCCTTGATTAGCCAAACACAGTAGGCATCTATATAGGCTGCTAAATTCTTTTTATTTTTTCTTAACAAAATTCATTTTCTAGGTGTGGCCTTCAAATAATAAAGGGACTTAATAAATAGCTTGTAGATGTTTCTTTTTTAGATCATCCATAAATTGACTTACTATATCAACAGCATATACAACATTCTACTTTGTACGGCATAAGTAAATATATCTCCCAAACAAAATATTTGGTGCCATCCTCAATCTAAAGCATTGTCATTATGCTCTTCATTCAACCGTAAATTGGGTTCAATAAGCAATCCAACGAACGTTATGCCAAAGGGATACAACAAAGATTTATGTTCAAAAATAAATATGCTTTTTTTTTTGGAATATGCTGCTTCAATCTCCAACAAATACTTGAGTCACTAAAATTTATTAATCAATATTTTTTTTTGGAAAGACGTGTTTGAGATGTTTTATTTAAGTTATATCACTTCTTTTATGACAATTCCATTCATATATCCTAATAGGGCAATAAATTCTTCCTTGACTTTAATTGTAGCCCATTATCGACATTTTTATTTGAATCTCTCAAACCATACTATAAGAGACTGATTTCTTTAACCTGCATATTTTAGAGCCAATAAGCTATCAAATTAAGGAGGAGGTTCCATAAATACCTCTTATGCTAACACTCCAAATAAGAAGGCTTTTTTTATATAAAATTGTAGTATATTCCGATTGAAAATGAAAGAGACAAAAGAAATCATCTAGTATTCATCTTTGCCACTTGCACAAAACTTTTTGATAATCGCCCCCATATGTTTGGACTTTGGATGCATCATTTTGCAACAGGATTTATATTTTAAGGTGTACACCCATTTATAATTTTATATAAAATTGTAGTACATTCAGATTGAAAATGAAAGAGACAAAATAAATCATATAGTATTCATCTTTTCCACTAGCACAAAGCTTTTTGATAATCGCCCCCATATGTTTGGATGCATCATTTTGCTACCAACTTTCTATTTTAAGGTGTACAACCATTTACATCCCACAGGCCTTCTTCATTTAATTAATTCAACAACTATCCAAGTATAATTCACTTTAGTGCCTTCATTTCCTCTCCCATGACTTATTCTCAATTCTGACCCATATGTGCCTCTTGCAGATTTTGAGGAATGTTAATGAAGTTAATGTAACCAATAAAATTTTTGCGTTAAGTGGATAATCTATGAAAGGAAAGAAAGCAAAAGATAAGATTTTGAGTGCAATTATGCTCTTTTTGGTTACATTAATAGGAAAATCCAAGTTAATACCTTTTGCAACCTGAACAGAATTATCAAAAAATAGAAAGGGAAGTGGATTTAATGCCTAGGTTGGACCTTCGATCAGCTCAAGCCATGAAATTAGAGTTTTACATGTTGAGTAGACAAAGATTGATGTAGCGGAAAATCAATCCAATTATATTTTTTCCAATAGGATGTTTTCTGAGGCAATTTTGATAATAATTTATGTGGTAGTTTTAGGAATGAAATTAAGAAAAATTAAAGAAGTGGATTCATGAATAATTTTTGAGATTTTTTCATCAATGGGTTCACAAGTCTTTTTAGAAGATTTATAATTAATAGTAAGCATATTTTCAAGAAATAAGATTCCTTTTCTTCCTTTGCAATATCCTCCCTCTCGAAGAAAAGGATTTATCTTCTTGGAAATAAAAAAATTCTGGGATACTTAAGTGATAATACTTATATCCCTTTTTGATATTTGAGTAACCAATAGACACATTTTAGAACTCTTAGATCAAATTTATCTCAATTGTGAGTACGAAAACAGACAAAGAAGTCAACTAAAATTTTAAAGGGAAATATTCTCGGATTTATTGAGATTCCTGTGGAATTCGGAGAAAATGGAATAAAATGTGAAGAAAGAAGAAATCAATTCATCTTCTAATTTCTTCTTCTATGGTCGAAGCCTCTTCAGCTATTATTTATACAAGGAGAAAATTATATCAAAAAAATACATTGCACCTAATAAAATAAATAAGAATAATAACCACTCACTTAAATATATTATTGAGTTTGTAAAGCTAATAAACCCACTTATACAACATATTTATAATTCCACAAATATGATAATTTCACTGATGGAAATCAAAAACCTTAGATTGTAGCCAGTTTCCATAATTTAGTTGTTTTCATGTGACGCACTAAGTCCAGAAATCCATATGACTATAATCATGAAAATCTCATGAATTTAAATTCTTAAACTTGATAGATACACTATACTAAAATGAACAAAAAAAATCAAATAGCAAATGAGCAAATTATGTAAAGCAAAAAAGTTATACAAATTAAAATAAAAGAAGGCACTTAAATCACCTTGAGTTATCATTTCGAATTGTCCTTGCATTGCCAAATGCTTCCAAAAGTGGATTTGACTGCAACGCCCAAAAAAGTCACAAACACTATTTAAAGAGCCCGGTCACATCATAAAAAATAGTGGCAATGTATCATTGTACATCATATTTTAGAGATGGTAGAATAACATACTTCAAGGACTTGTTGCTCCACCGAACGGTTATCAAAAACTGCCCGACCACCAACATATGTTAAATATTGCATGATCAGTTTTGTTGTCTCCGTCTTCCCAGCACCACTTTCTCCACTAACCAAAATAGACTGGCTTCTACCTTCACACATCATTGCTCTAAAGCAAGGGAAACAGCTAATAATAGCAAGCAGGGTCATAAAAAAAAACAGAGGCTCAAAAACTTCATGCAACCTTACATACCTGTATGACGCATCAGCCACAGCAAAAACATGAGGGCTCAGTTCGCCAAACTGAATACCTTTATATTGTTCCATCATATGTTCATTGTATAAATGAGGAAGCTTCTTGAATGGATTTACAGCTATCAATATGCTTCCTGTATATGTCTATAAGAAATGATAAACGTCAAGTAATCACTGTAAAAGCAAGCAAGCTAGAACATCAATGGAAGAGACCAGAACTACTTTGTTGCTTTTCAGCCTAAGGAAATTCACAAATGCAAAGAAGATAGAGACTCTAGCCCACTGTTCTGCAATAGACATGCCGGAAACAACGCCATGGATATGCTATTGTAACACGGTGCAAGTTTTTAAATGAAATTAGAAGTGGTTTAAAAGAGTCGGAAAACGACCAAAAAAATTTATAAGAAAAGGGGTTTAAAATGAATGATGCAAGCATACACAATGGATGGTAGGGAAGAGAATGGCCAATATTAGAGATTGCCTAAGGCAGGTTTTTCGCATAATACTTGGAAACTGTCCTACATCACTGTGATTCAAACCACAAGGTTAATCAAGGAGTGAATATCTAGCTAAATGTTTTCTATTCTTTATTTGACTCAACGGGCAAAAGACCAGAACATAATGTAAAACTTCTGATTACCTCATCATTCTATTCCAAAAGTAACATTGCCAATTACTTTTCATACAAGCAGCACTTCAAATTTCACATTATTTATAAAAGCTCTGTTATTTAACTGATTCAAACTATTTGTAGGCTTAAGGCTTAACCTTCTAGCCAAACATTTTAAAGCACTTAATAATTCAGGTTACAATTCATGGAATTTGATAAGGTAAAAATACCTTCTAATTATTATACAAAATTATCCCTATTTATAGATCTATACAAGATGTCTTAATAAAGAAATAAACAACTTCTAATTGATACATAATTGCCTCAATATAATCCTTCCTAATTCAGCTACCCAAATATAGAAGAATATTGGTGTGATCCAGGTGAGCCTCCCACGGATTCTCATCTTGACCGTGGGATCAAATGCCAATGGATGACTGAGATTTTGACACCCCCTCAAGCTGGAGACCAGCTTGCAATTACTCGCTCAGAGGTAGAGCTGCATTGGTTATAGATAGGATATCAACCACAAGAGAAAGCCAGCAATAAAGACCGATGATGGAAAATTATCCTCAAAATTCTGACAATTAAGGCCAGTTGTGGGAACTTGTATTCCTCGGAATTCCAGCAATGAAGGCCGGTGATGGGAACATCCTCAAAATTCCGGCAATGAAGGCCGGTGGTGGAAACTAGTATTCCTCGACATTATGGCAATGACGGCCGATGATAGGAACCCATGTTTTTCATAATTCCGGCAATAAAGGCCGGTAGAAGGAGTAATATTTCTCCAAATTCTAGAAATGAAGGCCACAACCACAAAACAGAGGGCACGAGCGGTTTGGACTTACTCGACTCTCGTTCGATGTCCTACGGCAATGAAGGCCGCTGGTGCAAGACAGAGGAAACTAGCTGTTTGGACCGCACGACTCCAACGGCAATGAAGGCCGTATTGTGATATATTAGCAATAAAGGCTGTTTGATCAGCAATAAAGGCTGATTTTATCATGTCAGCAATAAAGGATTCCTGATTAGGTAATATCAGCAATAAAGGCTGAAAACCTAGTCAAAACAAAAAGAATTGGTTTCCTCTGGGTTTAATGAGCCGAGCCTTAAGAGGCTCGGGTACGAGCCCTTTAAGGCTTAAATGACTAAGCCCAGACTTCTTTTCGTTTAGCAAAGCAGCAGCTAGGGCACGGGATGCTACAGGCGAGTCGCTCAATTCTTCGTCCCGTTGGTCTTCTGGCGTCAGCTTGACGGTAGCGTCGGCGTGAGGTCGGTGTCGGCGAGGGCTCCGCCTTGCCTGTTCGAGCGTTGGTATTTCGGCATCGGCGAGGGCTCCGCCTTGCCTAGCTTCGTCTAGTAAGGTTTTGGCTCCTTCCTTCTCATCTTTCGATGACTCCGGCTTCGAGCTTCGTCTGGATTCATTCGGCTTCAGACTTCGGGCTTCTGGGTCCAGCGTCGCTTCTTCGACTCCTTCGTGGCTGTTCGACTACTCTCCGTTGACGACTGTCCCTTTCTGTCGGATCGGAAGTTACGACGTTTGGATCGGGAAGCTTCCGTTGGCAGGGGAGCTTCGTCTGCGGCATCCGTCCTCAGCAACGCTTCGAGCTTCTGTCAGCAGGGCTTCATTGCTTCACGGGTCGCCTATTTGGCTCTCGCTTTTCCGCCTCCCTCTCTTCCGCTCTGCCTGGGACGGACGAGACAAACGGCGTCCAGGAGGAGAAGCCTGACTCCTCCCTTTCTCTCCCTGCTTCGCTTTGCCTGGGACGGAAGAACTGCACATGGGCTCCGCCTATTTGGCTTGTTTGTGGCTGTTCTACTCTCCTCCTCCGAAGATCGTTCTTTTTAGCGGCTATGAAGGCCTCCTCTTCAATTCTTTTGGCTCTGATACTATGTTACAATTCATAGAATTTGAGAAGGTAAAAATACCTTCTAATTATTATACAAAATTATCCCTATTTATAGATCTATACAAGATGTCTTAATAAAGAAATAAATAACTTCTAATTGATACATAATTGCCTCAATACAATCGTTCCTAATTCAGCTACCCAAATATAGAAGAATATTGGCGTGATCCAGGTGAGCCTCCCACGGATTCTCATCTTGACCGTGGGATCAAATGCCAATGGATAACTGAGATTTTGACAATTCAATGTGCATAAACAAACTCCAGCAAAGTTATATCATTTGATGCACTGATTTCTAATTATGTTGAAGTGGGAAAAAATGCTTTTCCCCCCTGCTGTTGTTTAACCCTTTATCCTACAAACTACTTTTAAAAGGATGTTGATTTACAAGCATCTCATTCTCATCCTTCTAGCATGTTAACTGCAACTTCTGCAAGATAAACTCTCATTCAAAATGTTTCCCAAGTCTATAGAGCATGTAAAATTTGGCTATAAGACAACCGCATGGAATTTCTTATCCCTGGCGGATTGTATTGAATTAAGTTAAAAACACTAACAGCATAGCTCAGCTCGGATATGCTTGCAATATCTAAAGGTGCTTTGCTGGTGTATTTACATGTCATTTTTTTACACAATGCACCTCCACATCACAATCTTCAAAAAATTACTATCACAGACTCAAAGTGTTTCTCTAATCTGCTTATGATACATTCCATCGCTTAACCTTTACAATTATGCTGAAATTGTGATATGTAAATCATTGATTCATTTTGAAATTGACAAAAGATTATCAGCCAATAAGCTCAAGTAATAATGGCTTTCTGAACCTAGACCAACAAATGCCCCAGCTTGCACTCTCCGAGCTGCTGACACCTGACCACACGATAATGAGTCCTCTCTACACTCGCACTTGCTCTCACTCAAGCATTCCTTCTGTATAATTAGGCAATGGTCTTCTTAGTAATTCCTTGTGCTTTTCTCTTTCACAATGACACCCAATGGAATCGACATTCTCTCCTACCATTCATGTTAATGGTGTTTTCTTCGAGTATTGGGGCTTCACCTAAACATATTAAATGGCCCTAGGGGATTCGTCGCTCGCAATCCATTCCTTCAATAGTTTTAGATCTTTGAAAGCTCCCACAACTTTGATGATCTTTCCTAAGGATCCAGTATTGAGAGCTGAAGAACATTTGACTCATGTTGTTAGTAATTCACATGTTATTCCTTCTCACATCTTCCATTTCCATAGGTCGCTATTACTTTTGTTTTATGTACTCATCGATCTTTATTGAAATTGTTGGAGGGAAGGCTTCAGGATTTCAATGGACATCGAGCTGCCACACTGCACTAGAAACCAACTCTCATTTTCTTTAAAGCTAATGATTTCATTTTCCTTCTCTATTTCTGGCAAGTTTTTTTAGGAACATCCTAATCTTGAGATTATTCAAAAGTTAATGGCAGACGTGCATTTGATTGGGGCCTTCTCTGTTGGACTTCTTGATCCCCATCATGTTCCTATCATATTATCAAAAGAAGCATATTATTTTAAGCTCCTCTACAGTCAATATTTCTAATACCGTATCAAAAGGAAATGACAGAAAAAGAAATATTCTTTATAATACAGATATATGTAAACATACATAGTAATGACCATTTAGAAATCTAAATAACAATAAGAATGATACATTTCCACCTATAATTATAATAAATTAAAGGCAATTCCATGCAAAAATTCTATCAGTTTCAGTTTCCAAATTTTCCTTGTTATTATGGCGTGAAAGTTGAATGTTAGCCCAAATTTTCTTTTGATGCTATGGTGCGAAGTTTGTCAGCTATTACAGGTTTACCTCCTATAATTTAAAGTATATAAGATGTTCGATTTCTGGTAGTTTTATAGAATGCATGTTTGCATGTCATACCAACAGCCAATCTCCAAGTGTCTGCCAATACACCATTTAATGTTATTGCATTTCTTCCTAAAGAGACCATGCAATCTTCAATAGCCTAGTTTAGCTTCCAAACACTCCTTGTATTACCCCCAATTAGGGCATTTCCTTTCTAGCCTATATTTCAATATTCAACAAGTCTCATAAACCATCTATCGAAATATTAGATTATTCAATAAGATATTAATTACAATATCATACTATAGTGGTAAAATCAGAGTGAGCTTCTGAGACTAGGAATTAGGGGTGTCAATTTAGGGTTACGGGTCGAACTCGAAACTGACCCGGCACTATTCGGGTTCGGGTCAACCCGACCCTGTGGGTTTGGGTCGACCCGACCCGATTTTGCAAACATGTCGATTTTCTGAACCTGGACCAGACCCGCTTCGGGTTCGGGTCAACCCGACCCGACCCGCAAACGCCGCGGACGCGACATGGCCTCGGGACGCCGGCGACGTGGAATTGCCGAAAGCCGACACGAATGCAGCGCGAAACTGCCGGATGCGGACGCCGGACGCGGCGCGGAACTGCCGCGGACGCCGGCGAGGCGGCAACTAACGTAGGACGCGACTGCCTCGAGACGCGGTGCGACTTGGCCTAGGGACGCAACGCGATGTGACGCGTCCAGGCAGACGGGGCAGCCGGGAAGCGGGCAAGGTCATTCTGGGCAAGGGTTTGTGTGCATTCCGTGTCATTTCGGTTTATTCCCGGTTCCGGATCGGTTATTCAAACGGGTCGATTTTCAGGATTTCGGGTTCGGGTCAACCCAAACCCGAAATTTTCGGGTCGAGTTCGGGTCGGGTCCAATATTGACATGTCTACTAGGAATCCTTCTACTTTAGTTTAGCTTAATATTAAAAAATTCACATTCTATTACTTCAAAGTTGAATAAGTGAAAAACATTCTAAAATTGACGGCATAACTAAATCAATATTAGGTGATGATATGGTTTTATCACTCGCCTATAACATTGAAAAAACCAACTAATTGAGGAGGTAGAATAAGTCAATGAGAGGCTTGCCTTAATACAAAATTGAAGTGGTTATCATGGTTACCTTCATCTCTTTATTTCCGCCATATAACTTGAGCTTTATAACTTGATAAAGCTATTTTTTCTCATGGTCAATAACAAAAAAATATAAATAGCCTAGAACAATAATTAATAGGCTCAAGCCATGTTTATGTTTGAATCAATATTATACAAACAAACATATGTTAACACAATAATTTTTTGTTCAAAACTTATACAACTTCAAGCAATGTTGTTCGGTGGTTGTTCAAGCAATGAAATAACTATGCAATGCAATTTAAGGATTCATGCATCAACCATTCTGAAGACCCTATAATAGAAGGAACCTCATGCAAACATGCTAGATGATTACATTAATGGATTAATGGCTTGCAAATGAATAGATGCCTTTTTCATGCCTTGAGGTGATCTTTTACCCATTACTGCATTAGAAAAAGACAAATTACATTTTGACAACTATCTTGGCATTTCTAATTTTTTACCCTCATCTTCACTCAATTAAAAATAGTAATCCACTCAAGCAGGAAAAAAAACTCTACTAAACAAGAAATAACAGGATATTCCAGTTGATGTGGAAAGTGAAAGAGTTGTGTGTCTTTATGGTTATAAGGCAAACTAGAAGACAACTAGAACGACTCCCTATTCAACCCACATAGTTAGGTTTGATGTATTTAATTCTTATTATTCGGCCATTAATATCAAATAAGAATGACTTTTTAGTCTCATATTTTTGCATATGGAATTAAATGAAATGAGTTCCAGCAAGCTAATATAGCATAAATTCAGAATGGATTTTAAAGAGTATCCCTACAAACAACTGCTTGCTATTTCAAAACCCATCAATTTATCAAATTTAGTCAAATACGGGAATAACTATTTAGCGCAGCTTTCTACTGCATCGCATGATTAAAATTTTGTCCTCATGAAGTTTTCAATCGAATAAAAAGAGTAACAAGATCTATACTCCAACTTTGCAATAATGGTACATTTAAAAATTGTTTGCAAGTAGCAGAAACGATAACAGAACAAGTGGTAGCGTCACTTTTAATCGAACTAAAGCCATTCCGGTCGACGCAAAGCTCTACTAGTCACCATGCCGAGCCAATGCGAACAGTTAGAGGGTAATTCAAATTCAAGCATGAAATATATATATATTCAAATAAAAGCTGAAGTTTTCAAACAAGAATTACATATATCTCGTTAAGCCCATATCGCCTAGCCAAATTATAAAGAACCCCAGGCTCGTTGAGATAGGTCAGCTTAGTCATGTCATCCACACCTCCGTGCTCCGCATCCGGATCCCGCGGCAATAATTTCTCCACCGAAACTGACACCTATGAAATCAAATAAAACAAAACTCTCACTCCGCAATGGACGACCAACGAAAAATTTTCAAAACAGTGGAAAATGAGTCAAAAACCACTCTACCTTCTTTCTCTGAGGTGTTTCTACAACGAACGACTTATCTCTGACCTCGACGACCTCGGCCTCTATCCACCCCAATTCCTTCTCCTCCGCCCACACCTTGGCGCCCCTCCCGAAGCTCATCTTGCAGACCACCGCCGGTAAGCTCGCCGTTGTACTCTAAAATCGAAAGCGACACGGCAGAGAAGGAACAAACCCTAGAAAGAAGACGAGCCGTGCTATTTCCCGCCCAAGTAAAGTAATAAATAAACAAAACCCCGCAAATCTCGACTGGGCCAACTGTTCATGCAGACTCGTGTTTGGAACTCTAACGGACTCCCCGATCTCCACAAGGCGACAGCGATTCTCGTTTAAACAACGGCGACAAAGACGATGGCCCACGCGTTTCTCGCATCGTAATCCACGGATTGCGTTTCCAATACGTTTCCGCGGGTATAAAAACTAAAAGAAAAAAGATCAACGTTTTGGACAAAATAACCATGATGCCACTTCTTTTGTATTTTACATTCTGCAGACCGAATTGATATGGCCCTCTCTCGGGCCAGCTGCTAGGCAGCTGCTTCTCAGACCTAGCATCTTGCAGTTACTGGAATGGATCATGAATGATCCTGATACTTTTCAGCATACAAAAAAGCTATATTCTATTATCTCTTGTTGTAGCATTTACTATATCTGGAAAGAGAGAAATTCGAGAAGATTTGCTAATATTTTCAACAGCAGTACCACTACTACTCTTTGCATCAAAAATGTTGTTAACCATAAGATTAGTAAGTGGAATGATAGATTTTACTCCTACATCTAGTTGCTGTTTTTGCTGGGGCGTCCCTTCTATTTTCCTGCATGTATATCTTGATAAATGGTATATGACCAGGCCCAGTTCCGATTCTATTGTATACGCTGGTGGTTTCTTTGAGGATGGGGAAATTCCTTTGTGCCTGCTGTGCCGAAATTGCAACACCTGGTCAATGATGAAGCTCCTAAGCAGGCCCCCTTAGGATGGTCTTCGGGCAACCAAGGGGTATTTCGATCGATTAATTCTTATATCTGAGCCCATGTGTTCCTATTCTAAGGAGCTTTTCTTTTTGCGTCATTTGTTATGTTGTTCTTTTGCTTATTATTAGTGCTTGATCTGATTCGAGCTTCTTTTTGTGCTTGAATGAGCAGTCCCTTTTTGTATGTTGGGATCTTTTGTAATCCTTGGTTGTAAAAGGTTTTTCTTTTTAGTGGATTAATATACGGACAAAGCCCAAATTTTCTTTTTAGTAACACACTCCAATCTTAAGCTATAATTAATGCATGTTTGCACTGAATATTCGTCCCATCAAACTTTATATAGGTGCTTATCATGTAGTTCACATTGATTAATTAAATATAAAATAAAAAATTGTGCCTTATTCAAGAGCTTTCCCAAAATTTCCTTAATTGAATTTGAAAAAATAATTTGGCTTTTATTACAATGGTGTGCATTTGAAAGAATTTTTTTTTCCTTCATTATATGCTTTAAAAACTCTAATTAAATGGACATTTGATATATGCACACACTCTTGATAATAATGTTAAAAATTTTCTAAATACTAGTTGTCACCAAATTGTCTCTTTTTGCAAGGAATAAAGTGTAACGCCTTAATATCTAATATCAAAAATTTGTATCGTTCTAAATATTTCACATATCGGCAGAAAATTTATTTAAAAAGATGATAGCATAAATGCATTACTATTCATTAAATACTTATATTTATTTTAAGCCCAAAATAACATATATTTACAATAGCCACAATATATAATAAATCAAAACATCATTATGAATAAATACATCATGACTGCAAAAGAAAAAAAATCGATAGATGTAGAAAGAAAATCCAGCTTTCAGCCCAGACCAACCTCAATCTACATAATCCATACCTTTGTTTGAAAACATATAAAAAAACATATAATGAGCATGTAGCCTAATAAGTAACAAATGTCTAGAACTTATGTCAATGCATCAACCAGAAAACAACAAACATATAATTGTATGGATATTTAGCAGTCAATGCACCATCTACTTCATATACAACCTTATCATATACATGTCAATCATATCATTGTTATATATCACTACATATGCTCATATCAATGCCTTCTCATTCTACCTACATGTCATCATGTAAATCCTGTCACCAATCAATCTATCGATCTCAAGTATTATTTATATCATCAACTAACAGTTTTACTTACCATTAATCATCAATAAACTCTATCATCATGCTTATCTATCTCATATGTCATCAATCGTATGTCATCTATATTTTCATTATATCATGTATGCTATAATGTATCCATGTTAATATGAAATTTGACAAGGCAAAACATTCAGTTTTACTGTGATATTTTTAATATTTTTAACCCAACTATCAACTAGTTGGTCAAAAGACTTTATCTTATCATCATTAACTGCAACTATTAACTAGTTGGTCATTAATATTTATCTTACGATCATTACTCATAAATCTTAAATCAGTTTACATGCGACTTTTAATAAATCATTAAGAGTTGTCACGCTTTACTCATCAGTATAATCAATTAATTAATTAAATATTAACATCCAACATTACACCACAAACCTCTTTAATTAAAGAAAAATCCATCGGCACACTTGGTACAGGGTATTAATATTTTAAAGTTCTAACTCATATTAATTATAATATTAGCAATTAATCTTCCTTGCTTACATACAAATGTCACATTATTTCTATATCAATTGAATAATTTGCTCTGTACAATACAACAAGCATCTTATTCATATGCAAGTATTATGCTCTGAAATATATGTTATGTCAAATGAATGATAATCATATACATGTATGTTGTGTATTTCATATCCATATTCAGTACAACAGCACATGATCATTTTACAGTCAATATTTTCATACTCATTTTATATAAAATGACATATAAGCCAAACCACCTATTGAAAGCTCAATATAAATCAATTAAAATGTTTATACTAATGGTATATCTCACATATCAAAAGGCATGTAGTGAAAGTACACTAAAATATGAGATATTGTATTTTCACTAAATTCAATAGGAGAAAATATATCAAACTCATAATCATCGAAAACAAAAAAATAGAGTTTAGGTACTTACAATGAGCATAACAAAATTTGTAATATGAATGCAGTGGCGGAGCCAGAAAGTTTTTATAGGGGGGGCCTAAATAATTTTTTTTTTAATTCTAACAATTTTTTTTTTTCATTCGACCTTCGTTTCAATATTGAAAATTTTAAAAAATTTTGCTGTATTTTTTTATTCTTAAAAAGAAAATATTACTTATAAGCTAATAAAAAATTTAAAATTAAATAAAAAATTTTATCTAGTGGAAAAACACAGGACTCCTTTTTAATTTATATTAAAGGCTTAAAGCTGCAATAGGTTGTCAGCATCCTAAAAAAATTCAGGCAAACCTTTTTTTTATCTACGGGACAACGCAAAGGTTTCAAGAAAAAAAACGCAAGCCAGCTGGGCAGGAAAATGAAGAACGGAAGGCCAGAAATCGAAATCGAGCCGCTAGACAAGCTCATTATGGTGTCGTGAGTCAAGCTCGAGCTTGACTTCTGAGCTCGACTCGAGTTCGAGCTCGACATTTGACTCGCGAGCCGAGCTTGAACACCCCTTGACTCGAGCTCGACTCGACTCGTTTGCACCCCTAAGCTTACCTGATGAGATGCTTGCACCGCTTTTAAAATTCAAAGCCTATTTTATTGTAACTGTTACTAATAATGCATTGCAATGCTAAGGAAATTTGTACTTTATAATTCTCATAATCTTTTGAAATTGGTCAAATAGGCTCATTATTTAGTAACATACTCCAATCTTAAGCTATAATGATAATGCATGTTTGCTCTGAAGATCCATCCCATCAAACTTTATATAGGTGTTTATCATCTCATGTAAATGGACATCACCATCAAGATCACAATTATAGACACGTAGTTCAAATTGATTAATTAAATATAAAATAAAAAATTGTGCCTTATTCAAGAGTTTTGCCAATATTTCCTTAATTGAATTTGCAAAAATAATTTGGCATTTATTACAATGGTGTGCATATGAAAGAATCTTTTTTTTTTGTCCTTCATTATATGCTTTAAAAACTCTAATTAAATGGACATTTGATAGATGCACACACTCTTGATAATAATTAATGTTAAAAATTTAAAATACTAGTTGTCACCAAATTGTATCTTTTTGCAAGGAATAAAGTGTAACGTCTTAATATCTAAAATTTGTATCGTTCTAAATATTTCACATATCAGCAGAAAATTTGTTTAAAAAGATGATAGCATAAATGCATTACTATTCATTAAATACTTATATTTATTTTAAGCCCAAAATAACATATATTTACAATAGCCACAATATATGATAAATCAAAACATCATTATGAATAAATACATCATGACTGCAAAAGAAAAAAAAAAAGATCGATAGATGTAGAAAGAAATCCAGCTTTCAGCCCAGGCCAACCTCAATCTACATAATCCATGCCTTTGTTTGAAAACATATAAAAAATCATATAATGATCATGTAGCCTAATAAGTAACAAATATCTATAACTTATGTCAATGCATCAACCAAAAAACAACAAACATATAATTGTATGGATATTTAGCAGTTAACGCACCATCTACTTCATATACAGTCTTATCATATACATGTCAGTCATATCATTGTTATATATCACTACATACGCTCATATCAGTACCTTTTCATTCTACCTGCATGTCATCATGTAAATCCTGTCATCAATCAATCTATCGATCTCAAGTATTATTTATATTATCAACTAACAGTTTTACTTACCATTTTTCATCATTAACCCTATCATCATGCTTATCTATCTCATATGTCATCAATCGTATGTCATTTATATATTCATTATATTATGTATGCTATAATATATGCATGATAATATGAAATTTGTCAAGACAAAACATTCAGTTTTAATGTGATATTTTAATATTTTTAACCCAACTATCAACTAGTTGGTCAAAAGACTTTATCTTATCATTATTAACCCCAACTATTAACTAATTGGTCATTAATCATTATCTTACAATCATTACTCATAAATATTAAATCAGTTTACATGTGGTTTTTAATAAATCATCAAGAGTCGTCACGCTTTACTCGTCAGTATAATCAATTAATTAATTAAATATTAACATCCAACATTACACCACAAATCTCTTTAATTAAAGAAATATCCACCGACACACTCTTTGGTATAGGGTATTAATATTTTTAAGTGCTAACTCATATTAATTATAATAGTAGCAATTAGTCTTCCTTGCTTACATACAAATGTCACATTATTTCTATATCAATTGAATCATTTGCTCTATACAATACA